ATCTCCCAGGTGCCCACCTGGCGTCCTCCCTTCTGCACTACAGTGGTGGTCGCTTGGGCTGGAAATGGTGGTAACGTCTCTGTTTTCTGGCACACAGGGAGGCCCCCAGCCACTCCTCACTGCTGGCCCTGCCTGCAGCTTCATCTTGAAAGCTGAGCTTTCTCTCTGTAAATTGTCATTTTCCAGGTCCAAGGCCACTGTCCTTCCTAAGCATTCTTTCCTGTTAGTTGAGAATAAAGCTGGACACTAAGCTGAGCAGTTTTCTCTGCAATATGTGGCTAAGACGTCAGGGCAGGGTGGCCAGAGTCTTGCAAAAGGACAGTCCCTAGGGGGTCCTGACCAAAAACCACACCAGTGCTGCAGTGTCTGGGAGCCTTCAGAGCACAGACTGTGAAGGGACAGGTGTTTGAGGACTACGGAGGCCCAGTGTGGCTGGAATGGCAAGGTGGCGGGCGGAGCTGGGGAGGCCAGGGCCTCAGCAGGGCCCTGAGGAAGGCCTTGCAGCTCTGTGGGGCACCTGGGCTCACCCCTCCACCCCCTGTGTGTAAGGATTATGGGGGCAACACAGGGCCTCCCTGTAGCATGCGTACATTGCAGAATCCCATGCCCTGTGTCCCCTGAGTCGAGCTCTGTGGGGCACCTGGGCTCACCCCTCCACCCCCTGTGTGTAAGGATTATGGGGGCAACGCAGGGCCTCCCTGTAGCATGCGTACATTGCAGAATCCCATGCCCTGTGTCCCCTGAGTCGTCTTCTGCCAGCGGTGATGGTGTACAATGCCCCTGTTGCCCTCCCAGGAGCTATCGTGGTCACTCCCCCAGGATGCAGGGGACGGGGAGGCAAGAGCCTGGGAGCAGAGGGAGCTCCCATACCAGGCAACTGGGGTCCTTCTTCCCCCTGCCCTGGGAGCAAGGAACCTCGTAGTCACCAGAACTCACAGGGTGGGGGTGGGGAACATTTCCCATGGTTACCATAATCAAAACTTTTCATGGCTAAAAACTTAGCCCTTTAAGTCAAGGTGTCCATAGTGCTGGGGTTTTCAGTTATGAGTACTGAAATACTCAGGGCCCCTTTGTGATGGATGACTCTTTCCCTCCCCACGTAACTAACCACTTCTGGGGGTGGGAGAGGGGCCCAGGAGGTGGGGAGCTCCCTCAGCCCTAAAGAAGGTGGGACCATCCAGCCCTCTGGCTGCCACCTGCTGTGAGAACCTCACTGGGCTCTGGTCTCTTCTGGTCTGTGGCCCTCAGCCTTGCCGAGTCCTGGCCAGGCCCAGACTGAAGATGCAGCTCTCAGGAGGCCTGGGAGAAGGGAGACTGTCGGCTGCCCTTTTGTTCACCTGCCTGCTCCACGCTCTGTGTTTCTGTACTGAAATTGTCATCACTGTGAGAAGCCCCTCAGTAGTGGGGCCCATCGGTGGAGGCTGAGGCTGCTGCCATGGCTCAGCTGTTCATCTGTCAGCAGTGTTCCCAGCCCTTTGTGCTGCCTGCCTCTGTGGTTCTCTGCAGACCTCGCCGTCATCACCCGGAGACTCGTGCTGTTTTGTCCAGCCTCCTGGGGGAGCATTGGTCCGTAGCGAGCTCAACTGTAGGACCGGCTGAATTCCTGTCCTTCCTGCACTGCCCAGTAGGGCCTCTACAGGTGTCTCTCCTTGAAAGCAGTGTCATAGCAGCAACAGAAACCCCAACATTAAATTAAATTAACTCACGATTATTAAAAGTTGCTGCTTCCTCATGTTGGAAGCATCTAGTGAAATGGGGTCAGTGCTGTGCATAGGTCTTGCCCCGATACTGAGGTCCTTCGGCCCTCCTGGGCTCCTCCTTTCTCTTTCTGGTCCAGGGTGTGCAGTGTTGCTAGCTTTCCCTGCACCTCAGAGTAGCCAGCCTGTGACACGCTCTGCAGTCCCTGGGTCAGGTCTTGTTGCCTTTTGCTCCGCAAAGCGCCCCTTCTCTCAGTTGGAGTAACATTGCCGGTCCCTCCCCTGCTGTCCACGAGGGGGCAGTCTCGGCCAGACCCTACAATGTAGGGCACCTTCTGCATGTTTGTTCAGCTTGTATTTCTTGTTACAGAAACTTGTTGTAGAAAACACTAAGTGTTATTTTAGAAGCAGAGGGCATCTGAAGGGCAAGAATTCGCGCGCTGGCAGTGTGGGCTGGAGATAGTGCTGAGGCTTGCTTCTTCACCGGTAGTTAGCAGAATGAGATTTGCTGAGTATGTACTTTTTACACATCCACGCGTGCCCTCCAGACCTTATCTCTGGTAACCAGATCCCCTGTGGGTGGTGTTTGTTGAGTTAGAGAATCCGTGTCAGTTCAGCCAGCAGGTTTTGGCAGGCACTCCTCTTGCAGCAGGGAACTTCATCTGTGGTTTATCACCTGGGAGCAAGTGATGAGCAGGGAGGGCAGGTGGGCGAGTGTGTGGTGTGCGGGTGTGTGTGTGTGGGAGAGTGTGCACGGGCTGATGAGTTTGTGTGTGTGTGGGAGCAAAAGTCAGGAGACAGATCCCAGAGCAGGTGTAGCTGGAGTGGACCCAGGAAGGGTGACTGGGGTGTTGGGAGAGATGGAAGGACAGCACAGGGACAGGAATTAGAGGTCCTGGAACTGCGAGGAGGGGCGTGGGGGATCCTAGAGGGGAAGGGGAGGGTGAAGGAGGGCAGAGGCGGGATGTGGAGTGTGGAGGTGGGGGTAGCTTGTGAGGCTTTGCGGTGTGCTTGGGGGGAGCCAGACTGGGGGCGTCGAGGAGTGAGGGGATTGCATCGAACACTCAACCGTAAGTGGGGTCCCTGCTCTGTGTAACGCAGCGCTGCTGTGGCTTTGTGCTGCTGGAAGCACTCGTGGCTGCCCTCTGTCCCCACCTCAGCAGGGACAGTGGCTGGGATGGGCCACCGAGGGCCCCTTGCACCTGGATGGTGGGGCCTCAGGGTTTTTTAATACTTTGATCCTTGTCCTTTTTCCAATGCAATATTATTTGAATTATTTATTAAAACCACATATCCATTTTAAGTAGAACAACAAGGCGGATTCTTTATATTTTTCTAAAATAAAAGTTGGTGTTGGGACTGTGTGCTGGAAACAGGTGTGCTATGGTGGCTGTCCTGGCTGAGCAACTGCGAAGGATGTGGTCTCCTTCAGCAGGTTTCTTTTATCCAAAATATTTCAAATGTAAGAATTCTAAAGCTTAGCAAAACCACCACCCGCAAACAATGAACCCTGACAGGAGGGTGGGAAATGCAGACACCATGATCTCACCCAGTGAAGCCTGTGTGGGATTTCTGCTGGACTTAGAGTTAATACTTTGGTGGTGGTCCTGTATGGGGTGGACCAGGGAGCAGAGCTGGACGGTCTCCCCTGGGCCCTGCCCCCTCCCCGGCACCCCAGTGTGTCCCTACCGGTCCTCTCCAGCCCCTACCAGGGCACGCCAGGCTCCAACTCCCTGAAGGCCACTAAGTTTGTGGTAATTTGTGATGACAGCAATAGAAAACCAATACACGGCCCCCAGCTGTGACAGCCAGAGCTGCCAAGAGCACCCCTGCCATCCCCCCACCCCCGCGCTGCCATGCTCGGTGCCCTCACTGAATCAGTCAGGCTGGTCCTGTGGCCGTGTTAACCACCAACAGGCAGCAGATAGATGCGGGGCCAGCTCTGGGCCTCAGCCCTAAGAATGCCCCGCAGCTTCTGCTGTGCAATGGGGGAGAGCTGAGCACCGTCTGCCAAGGCCAGCTCCCTGCTCCACTCTCAGTTCTGGACCATCCCCACCCCCCTCGTTGCTGGAGCTTCCCTCCAGGCCCACTCACTGCTCTTTTCAAAGTTTCCTTGGCCACTCTAATTCCTTTTTGCTTCCAGCTGAACTTTAGAGTAATTTTGCAAGGTCTTGAAAGAATCTTTTTAGTATTTGGGATTTGGTTGCATGCACGGATGAGCTGGAGGCCAAGCTTGCCTGGAACAGTCTGGGCTGGTGGCCACCCCGTGCTTTCCCCAGACTTCGGCAAAGGCTTCTGAGCATCCCAGCATTTGCACGTCATCCTGCCAAGCCCCTCTGACAGGCCCTGCAGGCTCCCCTCCCCTCCTGCTTGGCTGAGGGGGTGTGTCCCCTAATTGTAGAAGCCTCCAGTCCCAGTGTCTGTACTCTGTGCTGGCCATGGACGGCCAATGCCTGCAGGTGGGAGGCACTTTTGGCTCACGCCTTTGCTCACGCTGCCTGGTCCCCACTTCAGCATGGTGCTCCTCTGAAGTCCAGGCTTTGCTCGTGGGGTTTGTAAGTCTGCTGAGCAGTCTGTGTTTTCTTTTTTCTTTTTCCTTTTTTTAAAAAGAATTTTTAGAAGTGTTTACTATGGAAAATTTCAAACACATACAAAAGTAGGCACTATAGTGTAATGAATCTCCATGGGTATCAGCTTCAACAATCACCTGATATTTTCAAAGGCTACCAGGGCCCACGTCCCAGTCAGACTGGCTGGCTGCAGTAGCCCCAGTACCACACAAGACATGGTCCATCCAGGAGCGTGTAGTCCAGCAGGGAGATGGACGTATTCACACACGGCCACTGTACAGAGATAATGTCTGTGGACGGGTTGGCCTGGGGCACAGCGGAGAGCTGTGAAGAGGGACACAGAGGGGCTGGTACACACCATGCAGGCACACCCTGCTGCACTCTCTAGGCAGAGCTGTGCCTCACCTGGCAGCTGTGTGACAGTGGTCCACTCTGGGTGTGTGGTGTGTTTGGAACGTGGTTAGAAAATGCACACAGGCATGGTCTACCCTCTGCGGCTTCCTGTTGAGGCCGTGGACCCTTGGTGGGAAATAGTGAGAGGTGCTTCCCCACGGGGGTTCCTTCGGTCAGTGTGAGTGACGACGGGGAAGGGGCCAACCTGCTGCTGCTTCCCCAGGTGAGCGCTCACCCCGTCTTGTTTTCGCTTTGTGTTTCTGGAAGTGTGAGAGGGTTGTAAGTGCAGATCTTCTCCTGAGTTTTGACTAATCAGTCTTTTTTTGTGTTTCTAGGTGCTGGCAAAACCCCCACCCTGGGTGGCGGCTTCCATGTGAACTTGGGCAAGGAGTCAAGAGCACAGACCCTGCAGAATGGTATTTCCCACTGCGGAGACCGCCGAGCACGGGCAGGTTCCAGGAGGTGGGGTTGCGGTGCTGGCATGAGGGGACGGGAGCAGAGCAGCCTCAGCTGCTGTCTCTCGGCTTGGCCTCATCTGTGTCCCCCAGTCATGTGGCCTCCTGGGCATCCTCAGAGACCCTCTGCAGGGCCCCTCAGAGTGAGGCCGTGACCTTGCTGGGCTCACAACCATTTGTTAGTGGTCTCAGTAGAAATGAGTAGGAAGCAACACATTTATAGCAGTTTGACACTGTGGTGACATTTTTGTTGTGTTTTATGAAAGTACCAGTTCACAACAAATTGAAGGAATGTCTGTTCAAATCCTCAGCCTGTTTCTTATCAGGTTTTTTGTCCTGTTATTGAGTTGGAAAGTTCCTGCTCCTGGCCCTCCACCCCACTGGGGGCACCTCTTCTGCTGGCTGCAGATTCCTGTCCTATCGCCCTCGCCCTTGCGAGTTTGCGCCGACTTCATCTCCTTAGTGCCATTTTGTGTAGTTTTGGGAGGGCGTCTAAAGGGCAGATCCCAGCATATTTTCCAGACATTCTCTAGAGACGTGAGAGGGAATTTTGGCCCTTCATGATTGGTGCATTTCTGATGGGCTCTTCCTGCCTTTTATTTCATATTTATCTTCCTTTTAAAAAACCTTCACTGCCTTTTGCTGACTTAATCGTGGTTTATGTTTCTTTTTATTTTCCTTATTATTCTGTGTTCTTCCCCTCCTCCTCTCACCCCTCTGGTTTGGAAGTTTTACATCATATGATGGTTCCCTCAGTGGTTTCCCTAGATTTATTAGCGAAGCTGTGCTCTGCCAGTGACCGCAGGGACTCAATCTGTCATCCCCCAGGAGCTTGCCCTGTGTCCACTTCCCACCTCCCACCCCAACCTGTTGGGTTGTTTGAAATTGTGAATTTAGCTTCAGACTGTTACTGTTGCTGTTAAGTCTTGATTGCCTTTCTTAGACAACAGGAAAGATGGAAGTAAACTAGCTGGCCGTTCCTCCTGCCTGCGGTGACAGGCCTCACCAGCTTCTGCCCAAGCCATGCTCTTTCGTGGATTTTATCTTTAGTTTCTTTGGGCACATACTCAAGTTGTGTTTAGAAAAAGAGTCTGGGGAGAGAAACTCTTGACTCTCTGTTAATCTGAACATGGATTTTTCCTTTCACTGAGATGCTTGTTTAGGGGTTTGAAACGTGCATCACATGGAAAGCAGAGAATATTGGCTCAGGGTCTGTTAGCGAGAGACCTTGAATGCCATCTGAGTTTTGATCTCTCACTCTTTTTTTTTTTTTCCCTTTTTGTCTTTTTTTTTACTGACCGGTAACGGGATCGCAACCCTTGGTGTCGCGCCCGTACCGGGGACCGGCAACGGGATCGCAACCCTCGGTGTTGCGCCCGCACCGCGCTCAGCCAGTGAGTGGGAACCGGTTTTTTTTTTTTTCCTTTTTGTCTTTTTTTTACTGACCGGTAACGGGATCGCAACCCTCGGTGTCGTGCCTGTACCGGGGGACTGGCAACGGGATCGCAACCCTCGGTGTTGCGCCCGCACCGCGCTCAGCCAGTGAGCGGGAACCGGTCTCCACATGGGATCCGAACCCTCGGCGGGAGCACCACCACGCTCCCAAGCGACGCACTCTCCAGTGCGCCACCGGGCCGGCCTCGTCACTCTTTTTTTAATCTCAGACCTTTTGTGTCATGTCTTTGTCTTTGGAGTTCTGAAGCACATGAGCGGGAACCGGTCTCCACATGGGATCCGAACCCTCGGCGGGAGCACCGCCGCACTCCCAGGCAGCGCACTCTCCAGTGCGCCACCGGGCCGGCCTCGTCACTCTTTTTTTAATCTCAGACCTTTTGTGTCATGTCTTTGTCTTTGGAGTTCTGAAGCACGCTGGGCTGGAGCTGTTTCCATTGACTTGGTGAGCCCTTTCATTTGGGAGGTGTTTCTCAGGGAAATTTCTGTTCTTTTGGTCTGTTTTCCTGCTATGACATATTTATAGTAAAGTGCGTAAAATGTACTAGCCTTCAGTGAACTGCTTGATAAATTGATATGAATTAAGGTATGCAGCAGAGATCAAGATATAGCATATTTCTGCTACCTCAGAAAGCTCCCTATTATTCAGTTTTGTGTAGTTTTCTTCTCATACAATTGGAATCATACAGAATGTACTTTCTTTCTATAAGACTTTTTTTTAGAGCAGTTGTAGGTTCACAGCAAAACTAAGAGGAAGGTACAGAGAATTCCCCTATACCTCTTACCCCCATGAGCACAGCTCCCCCACTGTCAACGTCACTCACCACAGTGACACACTTATTACTGTCTTTCAACCCACACTGACATGTCATTAACCACCCAAAGTGCACATTAGGGTTCACTCTTGTGCGGGTTTGGACACATGTGTAACGCTGTGTATCTACCATTACAGTGTCATACAGAACTGTCACTGCCCTAAGAATCCTCTGTGCTCTGCCTGTTCATCCCTCTCTTCCCCCAAACCCCTGCAACCACTGGTCTTTTTACTGACCTTAGTTTTGCCTTTTTCAGAATGTCATTTAGTTGGAATCATCTGAAAAGTTCATGGAAAAATCCGTACTATTTTTCAATTCTGTTTGTCCACAAGCTCTCTGAAGTACCCTTGGATAGTATGTAGGCTTTTCAGCTTGGCTTCTTCACTTAGTCACATGCATTTAAGGTTCCTCTGTGTCTTTTTATGGCTTGATAGCTCATTTCTTGTTAGAACTGAATGATATTCCCTTGTCTGGATGCACCGCAGTTTATTTGTCTGTTCACCTGCTGAAGGGCATCTTGGTTGTTGCTTCCAAGTTTTGGCAGTTATCAACAAAGCTGCTATAAACATTCATGTGCAGGTTTTTCTGTGGATATAACCTTTCCCCTCCTTTGGGTAAATACCAAGGAGTGCCACTGCTGAATTGTATGGGAAGAGTGTGTGTGGTTTTGTAGAAAACCACCAGACTTTCACAGAGCGGCTGCACTGTTCTGCGTCCCTGCCAGCAGTGAATGACGGTTCCTTCTGTTCCACATCCTGGCCAGCATTCCTTATGTCAGGGTCCTGGGTGTCAGCCATTCTGGAGTGCACACTTTTTGAGTGTATCTGTAGTGCTGGGTTTTTTTTCCTAATTGCTGTGTGGTATTTTATTGCTTGAGTATGCCATTTTTTTTTTTTTTTTTTTTTAAAAGATGACCGGTAAGGGGATCTCAACCCTTGGCTTGGTGTTGTCAGCAAGTGAGCGAACCGGCCATCCCTATATAGGATCCGAACCCGCGGCCTTGGTGTTATCAGCACCGCACTCTACCGAGTGAGCCACGGGCCGGCCTCCAATATATCAGTTTTTATGGTTAGGGCTTTTTGTGACTTGTTTAAGAAATTTTTATTTACCTCAAGGCCTAAATGTACTCTTATATGCTTTCATCTGGAAGCTTTATTATTTTATATTTGACATTTATATTTGAGATATACTTTAATCAATTTTTCATGTATGGTATGAAGTAAGGATTGAGGTTTACATTTTTCAATATGGATATCCAATTTTTCCAGAACTGTTTATCAAAAAGGCCATCTTTTTCCACTGGAATGCTTTGGCCCCTTTTTCTTAAATCAAGTGACCATGTGTGTATAGTCCATTTGCAGACTTGTTGTGACTCTACAGATGGTATCTCTGAGTTGCTGTCAGTCTGCTGGTCTGTCCTCAGGCCAGTACTACATTTTCTTGATTACTGTGCCTTTAGAGTAAGTCTTCAAGTTTGGTAGAGTAAGTTTTCCAGCTCTTTTGTTCTTTGAGATTGTCTTGGCTATTCTTGTTTTTTATTTTATTTTTTATTAATTTTTTTTTAAAGATGACCAGCAAGGGGATCTTAACCCTTGACTTGATGTTGTCAGCACTACACTCACCCAGTGAACTAACTGGCCATCCCTATATGGGATCCGAACCCGTGGCCTTGGTGTTATCAGCACCGCACTCTCCCGAGTGAGCCACGGGCTGGCCCCTGTCTTGGCTATTCTAGTCCCTTTGCATTTCAAAATAAATTTTAGAATCAGCTTGTTGATTTCCAAAAGAAAACCTGCCCAGATTTTGGTTAGAATTATGCTGAATCTTTACATCAAATTGTGGAGAACTGCTACATTTACTTGTTAAGCCTAATAATTTGTAGATTCTTTTCTTCTATGTAACAGTCATGCAGTCTGTGAATAGACATTGTTACTTCTTCCTTTCCTGTCTTTATACTTATTTTCAGTGCCTCATTGCACTTGGAAGTGCCCTGACGCTAGACTCTCTGGTACAGCATTGTGCAGAAGGGGTGTGAGTGGATTTTCTTATCTTATTCCTGACCTCAGTGTGAAAACGCTCAATATTTCACTATTATTAAGAATGGTAACAGGCCGGCCCTGTGGCATACTCGGGAGAGTGCGGCGCTGGGAGTGCAGCGGCGCTCCCGCGGTGGGTTCGGATCCTATATAGGGATGGCCGGTGTGCTCACTGGCTGAGCGTGGTGTGGGCAACACCAAGCCTGTCGGGCCTCCCTGAGCCAGAGGCCGACAAAACCGAGCGGGAAGAGACCCCGGTCCAGCCGGGGGTCCCTTGTGGGGCTGAGCGGGATGATGAGTGCGGCTGGCACGGCCCTTCCCCCCCAGGATCTTCCTCCCTGGGGGCCGAGAAAGAACACCACCGAGCCAGAAGAGTGG